CTCCAATAAGACCCTCAACCTACACAATGTTTTCATGCTTGCTTGGTGGCAAGTTTTGCCATTTTAAGCACTCCCCAGGGTTAGTTTTGTTATCTAAAACCAGTGCTATTATTGTTAGCTAAAATCATTAAAAAAAAAAAATTTTGATATTGAAATAAAGCTCATTGAATGAACTTTAAATATTAGATTAGCAAGCGAAATAAAATAAATGAATGCTAATTAAAAAAACTTAAATATTATTATTTATAAAATATTAATGAACACTACAGGCTAGTAGTAACACTGGCACTCACTCAGAGTAACTTATTATATAAAATAATATTTTTAATTTAGATATTCTTTTGAATATATTTGATATTAATATTAACTATATAAATGACTTTCCCGATTTGTTTATAAAATGTCTTCACTAATTTTCCTCCTCCTTGCGGTGTTAGCGGTAACACATGTACAGTAGAACATACTGTTCTCGAAAACAAGTCTGCGTGTCACAGCTATACGTCGCACCTTCTCAAATTTCACTTTCGGAAGTTAACCGCCATACGTTGCACAATCTCAGACAGCCTTCTAGTAAACAAGTGAGTGTTCTCTGTAATGGCATTTGAGCCCAAAACAGCATTATATGAGCAGGCGTAAGAAAGAGAACAAGTATCAAATCGAATTAAAAATATAAGTAGGCTATTCAGTTGCATTGTGGGATCATATGGAAACAGGATGAAGCTCAGAGTGGTGTAACGCACTGAGGCTCTTCGAAAACTCCAGGCTGGGGAACTAGGGGAAAGTTCATCGTTCAGTTACGCGGCGTGGGACAAGTTACATAATGCACGCGTGGAAAATGCACCATTTTGATAGGTTCAGCAATACATTAAGACGATTCATCTTTTTCTTTTATGTCTGTTTGTTTACTCAAACTATAAGACAAGGGACACTTTTTTTGTTTGATACTCCAAAAACATGAACTTACCAGCTGTGAACTAGCTGAACGGACTGTGTCTTTATAAGTTGGTCAGGTAAAAGGTTGATCTCCTTCAAACTGTTACTTAGTCTCACGGGAAGCTCTTGTCTGAGAAAAGTGAACGATGTTTTCTCGCACGCATTTGTGGATCCTGCAAAGAGAACGACAGAACATCGATAAACTATAACTGGAATATCAGCAAGAACAAACGCTCGTTTCGTGCACACATTAGCTATATTTTGTCGTCCCTATAGCAATAGCACCAAAAGCTAAAATAACAATGGTAACAAAACATTTTCACATTTTTATTTAATAAGTGATGTGTAAAGCTATAATTAAGTTACAAAAATTATCACTAGAGCAGCGTCACCATGGTTACCCCATCAGTTAAACGCGTTCGCGGGCGTTAAACACATTCTACAATAGAATTGTTGGTTGCGTAAAATTATATAAAAGATATCAATCCAAATTATTTAAAAAATAAAAAGAAGAATGTATTGTTGCAAAGCAGGTGCACAAATGGCCAATATTCATCGTATTTTGCATAAAAATGTTTAAAACTCACCGAAATCCAGAAACTGCTTCATTGACAACGGCGATGGAGAAAATTTCGCGTAGTAATCAATATGTTTTGGTACATTTAGCAAAGCAGCATTCCTCGTTATAAATCTTACGAACTTCATTTTAATATCTGAACTAAAAACAAAACAAAAAGCGTGTGAATCGTATCTGGAAAAGTTATCAGTATCCTCGCGTGAATTTCTTTATTCAGTCTGGGTCTGTCTTGAGCCCTGTGGTGTTTACAACTCTTTAAAGTTAGTTCTTGCACAGTGACACGCCTACATTATTACGTCGGTGCCGTTAGTGACCAATCGGAGAGAGGAAAAGGGGTACACGTCCACTCTCAAGATCGCGATCAACAACGTGTTTATCCTTGCACCTTAGCTTGCATCTGCGTAATGTTTGTGCTGCTACATGTAAAATCACACGACACGACAGCATCATAACAAGATGACACAGTCAGCTGGACATTATGAGGTCAGGCTTCACCCATCACCCAGTTGGACCCGAGTACAGGAATTTACCATAGATGGAGAGCAGCGTCAACGCAGCCTGAAGAAAGACAAACACTGAAAAATAAGGCTGCCAATAAAATCATTTTTTTTAAGGAAAAAATCCACTAGACCCATTTAGAAATATATAATATATTATACAGTGATATAAAAATAAACAGTGATGCATCATAGAAATGTGCAACATGCTATAACCTGAGAGTAACAGGTCAGAGTAAGTCGGTACGAATGTGATATCCCATGATGAGGTGACTTCATACGCATGCACGTAAATGAAAAGGTATCAAATTAATGACAAAAATAAATGAGAATATTGACCTTGTTTTAGGACGTCATACTCACACACACACACACACACACACACACACACACACACACACACACACACACACACACAATTTATGGTTTGCTATCTATCTTTAAAACAAATGTTACTTGTTCTGATAATTTTGTTATAATATTTGAACACATTCATTTAAGTGTGACTTAAAGGGTTCACCCCAAAAATGAAAATTGTACCATAATTTACTTGCACTCAAGCCATAGGTGTTTATGACTTTCTTCTTTCAGCAAACTCAATTGGAGTATATATTGGAGAATATATATAGTTTGTGAACATATATATATATATATATATATATATATATATATATATTCTGGCTATTCAAGCTTTATAATGAGAGTGACATGTGATTCTAGTTTTGAAAGTTATGTATTTTTTACAAAAACGCATCACTACAGAAGGCCTTTATTAACTCCTGGAGCTGTCTGGTTTACTTTTATGATGAATGGATGCTTCAAAATCAATGCCTGGTACCATTCAATCCCATTATAAAGCTTGGAAGAGCCAGAATATATATATATATATATATATATATTTTTTTTTTATAAACTCCTATAAAAGTTATTTTATAACTCCAGTTGTGTTTGCTGAATGAAGACTACATTATTAGTATAGTATATATATTCTAATGCTGGGTTTGAAACCAAATTTGGGTAAAATATTTTATATGTAAAAACATTTTTTTAATCAACTGTACATTTTTTAATTGCATTTTAACCCAACATTTGGCTTTTTCCATATTTTACCCAAATTTGGGTTGAAACAACCCAGCATTTTTAGACATGATTATTTATAAAAACATAAAATATGCAGCTTTTATTCACTTGTTATAAAGAATAAAAAAAACTGCAGATTATTTAATCAATCGTTACAAACATTTAAAGAAATTAGGTCGAAGGAAACACTTCAATTCAGAGATATCAATCACTGTAGTATACTGAACTGGATTGGCTATCTGTGAAACAGTGCAGTAAACAAGACTACTGGGAACCATATGGTCTGTGCTGGGAACTGAAGACAGATTGCATAAAAGCAGCGTCTAAACGTCTCACGACTGCTCTCTGGAGGAGGAAGTCAGACAGCTGTCAGCTGCCCTGGTAGCTTGTTGCTAGTGATGGCAAAATGAGGCTTCCTGAACCACTGAGACCTCGCAGCCCATTGCTTCACTCAAAGGTTCATCACTCGAAGCTTCATTCAGTATTGCTCACTAGTGACACCTAGCTACTGTGCAAAGAAATAGCAAACAAATTATTTAATTCTGAAGCGATGACCTGAGCAGACTTATGATGTCCCCTGTCCTGTTTTATTTTATTTTTTTCTTCTCACTGTTAATGTCTGTAACCTTTCATTTGCAATAATACAAATACCTGAGCAGACATTTGTCCATTGCCTGGGAATAAAATAAAATATGTATATTGTCTGAACTTACTTCTACAGAGACAACTTTTTTCAAGTGTGTTCAGGCTTAGACATTAAATATTATACAGCCATATAGTGAGGATTATTAGCTATATCAAGACAGTAAAATAATAATAAGCTCTTTCTTGCTGGCTCCATTACAAGAAAAAAGGATTAGGTCACAAAAAGCAAACAATTCCAAAAGGGCAATCCAAATCAAAAACCAGTCCAGTCCAAATCCAAAACAATCAAAATAATCTTATCTAATTAATATAACAATACTATAATATAGCTATAATTAATACTAACAATAAACTATAACTAATCTAACCTAATAATGTAATAATATACAGCCCTAACACATATATTGCACAATAACGACGATGAAACATCTCTCTAACTCTGACTCCCTGACGCTACTTCAACTGATTCAATTACTCCTGACAACACCCACAAGGTGGCGCGAGATTCGAACAAACGACACTCAGACCGAACCGATGACGTTTTCACACAAACCGAGGCCTCGTTTGTCATCAGTCACGTGATTTTCACGTTAACAACACAAGCCTCGAATCGCGGCTTCATCTGGCACGCCCCTTTTTGCTCGACACAAGCTCCGACGCCTCGCTTCAAATGTCACATCACTACTTGTTGCTTTAGTCCAGGATATTATCTACAACAAGTGTGCACAAAGTGAGAACCCTTGCGCATGCGTAGTAAAAGTATAACCTGTGGAAAAACGACGTTTTAAACCTTATTTTAGGGCAAGTCATCATTACTGCTGTATCTATACATGCAGTGTTTATATCCCGGTGACCAGTGAAAGTGCAGTTTCTGACTCTCTGCCCATTCAACAAGACCAGGCTCCTATATAAAGGCTAGATGTGTTACGGCGGAGTTTCCATCGTCATCACCGGCGGCCATCTTGTCACAGACAAGCTGATGTAAGATGAGTGGTCAGCACGAACACACATACTCTTATCTCGTTGAAATCTTGACGGATTTACAAACGGTTTGGTTTCTTACAAACGTTATTAACGTGGCTATAATTATCTGATAATTATCGGATGATTATTTATTTATACACTTTTTATTCATAAGTATGCAGTGTCATAACTACATCTCTGACGTTTATAACAAAACAAACCGTTTGAAAATCGGTAGAAAATTGAGCAAGTTATGGTCATTTAAATAGTACATGTACCATTAACACAATGTTACGATTGAGCAAGCTACCTGTGACAAGATGGCCGCCAGGTGCAGACGTCGACCTCCATTGGCCAGCAGCGTGAACGACATCATAGACATCTATGGAACGACATATCCAGCTGCCTGGAGGCGTTGCCAAGATGGCGGTCGAGTGGCATGACAGGACTGAGTGCGTCCCTCCCGTAGGTGCGTCCATCTCAGCGCCGGCCAGCGCGCAAAACACAGTATGTATGAATTTAGCAGTTAGTTAATCACGTGATGCACTGGCCGTTCTAATCACACCGGTGACCGGTTTATTCGTACGCTCCAGGGGCCAGCCAAGAAGACTGATCACACCGGTGAGATCGTACGCGTGTAAGGGTTAAGGTGAGTCCATTTTCGACTGAAAGTTCAATTTATTTGTCTACGACGTCTCTCATGACATCGAAACAACGTTGATCATGGCATTGTTTTGCTCATAATGTTGAACCAACATCAGACGCAGCATTCTTCAAAGCTAAATGAAAATCGATGCAATTGGTTTGCTTTCCTAAATAGGAATATAAATGAATAGTTCGGCACTGATTGCTCTTAAAAGCTTTTGTAACTTTCGCCCATCAAGATACACCATGACAAACCCGACATTTTTCTTTTCTTTTCTTTCCTTTTTTTTTTTTTTTTTTTTTTGATAAACCGATATGAGCCATATGGGCTTGTAATATAAAATTTAACTGTAAATAACACAGGGTTCATGTTAATGCATTAAAATTAACCAAACAGTGAAGAAACATACAGCTTTAAAATATGAGTAATGGGCCTTTGGCAATTGTCAGCAAATAATTTACTTTAAACTTAAACTAACATCTTGCTAACAAGAGATGTATATTTCCTGTGAAATGTTTGTCCTAGATGTGACCCTTGACCACAAAACCTGTCATATAGGTCAATTTTTTGAAATTGACATCTGATAGCTGAATAAATTATCTAAAAGCTTTCCACCTTTTTGAAAATCTGGAATCTGAAGATGCAAAAAAAAAATTGAAACATTGAGAAAATCACATTTATGTTTGCGATTGTGCTGCATTCACACACAAAAATAAATGTTTTGTATACTGTTCTTACAGTAGGAAATTTACAAAATGTCTTCATGGAACATGATCTATCTTTTGGCATAAAAGAAAAATCGATAATTTTCACCCATACAATGTATTGCTGGCTATTTCCACAAATATGCTACTTGTGACTGATTTTGTGATCCAGGCTTACATATTAAAATTAATTTTGGTACATTAAAGTGATTATAAGTGACAGTAAAGACTGTAAAATGGTTACATAATTCTTAAAAAATATATATTCTTCTTTCAAATTGAAGACAAATCTATCATGATTTACACCAAGGGTAAGACCCTTAGAGATTTAAATTTGCATTCATAATGTTGCTATTATGACATGGGCCAATTTTGTAATATTTAAAAAACATAAATATTAATTGGAAGTCATTTATACATTAAAAGTTTGCCTCAGTTGTAGGGTAAGATGGCCTCTTTGAATAATTTTACATTTTGTTCAACAATTAAACAATTAATATTTCTATTTATTTCCTAAAATAACACATTGGAAGATGCATCATCAATCTGCTTGCTAAACTTATTTTACACTTTAAAAATAAATGTACATTGTTTTTAAGGGGGGCATCTTCCCCCACGTTACCATATAATAAGTTGGACAACTGTTTTCAACAGCAAAAATATTTAGAAATGTTTCTTGCAGCAAATCAGCATTTTTGAATCGATTTCTCGAGGATCCTGTGATTCTGAAATGGAGTAATGGAGCTTTGCAAGGAATTTCAATTTGAAATGCATAAAAAAGTTAGATATTTACAATATTTCATATTTTGTAAATATCTGTACTTTTTTCAAATAAATGCAGCTCTGGTAAGCATACAGTAAGAGACTTCTCCCTTTGAAGCTAAAGTCATCAAACACACTTCAGACATGTCTCCAGTTGACCTGCAGAGGGCAGTATAATACATGTATGTAGATATTACAAGGGAGCAGTAGGACAGGTAGCAGAATTTTTTTGTTTTTCAAATGTGTGTAGGGGAGAGGTGGGACCATTGAAACACTTTTCAGATAAACGTCGTTTTCTAAGATAAGGTTACAGATAGATTTTTTTGGTTTTGTTTTTGTAATCAACAACTCACATGTGTTCTCTAAAGTATCATGTGTTATTCAGTACAAATATAGAATGATTTAAGTAACAATTGACTTTGAACGGGAATAGCCGATAAGCCGTGCGCATTTTGTGTGCTCTTTCTAATATGCTATTTTGACGATTCCATTTACAATTCATATTCTTGCATTTCTTCCTTAAATCATATTGAGTGTTTGCTAATTGAATACCCTGTGAAGAAAACAAGGCCAACCGCGGTTTTCCTATGACCAGATGTATCCAATATTATAAAGCTGCAGACTCGGAGTTTGCATCTACAGTCCCCCACGCAGAATCCCGCATTCTCAGACCCCTCGTTTTTCGAACACAGCGCCTCCTGCTGTTCGAAAGATCGTATAACACCCGCCCACAGAGTACAGCGCATGATTATCCAAATGCAATTAAAAACAATAGGATGCGATATTACGGTCTCCAAATAAATTATCCAATAAATATTTGCGTTCCCTGCATAATGCATGTGCCAAAAAAACTCATTGTTATTGATGGAAGGGATACAATTACAGATTAAACTATCTTCTGAAAAATAGTATGTGATATTATATTGCTACAATGTTTTTTATATATATATATATTTTAATCAAATTCCAATTTTTCTTTCAGTTCTATTAACATTACCATGCTAACATTACAAAATCTGTTTTTTGATATTTTGAATGCGAAGCAAAACAAATCAGAATAGACAAAACACCAATAATAAACAATTTTGTACTTTAATGGGGAATGGGGATCAATGTGTTATCGTTATGATCAATGTGCTGGTTACGTTCGCGAGATAGCTGATTAGTACTCATGTCACTGACCGTAAAACAGTATGTTACAGGAATCACTAACCCGTCGATCTTGGAAGAGATCTAAGTCGATCGTGAAGAGTTTTTTTTAAAATCAGAGAAAAAGCCTATTGTGTGTAGTAAATGGTGTCTATGGGATGCGGAGGCGCGCGCTGTTACAATCACGTCATTTTTGCGCTCATGCGGACGCGTCGACCCAGCTCAGCCACAGTAACAGCTCATATTAGCTAGCTGAACTTTTACTACCCTGTTAGAAAAAAATATATAGTTGCATAGTTTCATGTGGTTCTTCTCCCTCGCTGTATTATGGGTTTGCTATGTGGGGAGAAATGTTGGCTGGTTGCATTTGTGAGACAATCAGCTGATTACTATTATTATATTAAATTCTATATTAAAACCCTTGATCCTCACCTGACTATGGCTTTGCAAACTTTATCCATGATGTGGTTTATAATGGACTGTGGCACAGAAACAATGACAATGTTACACACTCTTGTCTTACTCTCTGCTGTCTCAGCCGACGAGATGTTTGTCCCGTTTTAGCAACCGTAGCTTCTTCGAAATGGAGGGGTGAGCAGTGGGCTGAGCCCTTAGTGTAAACCTGGTGCAAACTCGCAACCGAACAATCCCACACTGCACCTTTAATGAAGAATGTTTTATCCACTACCTTTCCTTGAACTATGAGGTGCTCCTTGATATAGAGGGCTTAGATTGCAATTATGCCCATTTAATATTATCGATTAACTTACCCGATATAACCGATTAGTGCAGGCTACTGTTGTGGTCATGGTTGTCATGTCATTGTCGACTCATCCATGTATGCTCTGATTGGTGGTAGTCGCATCCCAGTGTCACAGTGTCTGGTGTGTGTTTCCCTGGGTGTCCACTAGAGGTCTCTTCCCCATGTCGTCATCCACTCATCATGAACTGTAATTCCCATAATCCTTTGTCTGCACTCATCTGAACATTGCACACAGCAGTTTCCCATCATCCTGTTAGTTCTCTGTGTATAAATACCCTGTCTGTTTCTGTGTTCATTGTGGATTCCTTGTTTTCTGTTGTGTTGCACTTCCCTGTTCCACTTTGTTTTGTTTCTTTATTGGACAGTTTGTATGGATTTTGACCCTTGCCTGGCTGACCACAGATACGGATTACCATAAACTGCACTTGGATCTTCCTTTTGTGTGCGTTCCGTGACACCCAGAGGCCAAGCGCTCTCCTCCTACTACCCATCTTGAATGATTATTACTTCCATTAAAGCCAGTGGATGCATGGTGCATCCTGCCATTATTCCAAACTCTAAGCATTGCCATGTAGTGCTGAATTCTGGAGTTGAAAAGCTAAATTGCAAATCTCCAAAATAGGTTATCACTAAATTTGTTATTGGTACTCTGAAAAAATCTAATGCTCCCCAAAGAAGCTCATGTGGCACTGAACCATATGCATTAGCCAAATCTAGGAATGTCACATGGAGCTCCTTACTCTCGTTTTTAGCTGATTGAATTTGTTGCCAGATAACATTGATGTGTTCTAAGCATCCTGAGAACTTTGACTAAATTTGAATAACAAATTTATTAAAATCCAGTGGAGAAGTGCATCCTGCCAACAAACAAAATAAACAAAATAAAACAAAATAAATTATCCACAGAAAATTTGCACTGGCTCACCTGTTGCAAACATTAAGCAAGATAAAATAAATGTTAATAAAAATCCATATGGGTAGGCTTAGCCTTAATATATTACATAATAATCTATCTGGTAAACTACTTGTATGAAAAACTTAAAAAACATTAGCAGCAGCTCTTATAATCCCCCTTGTTCTAGTAGGATTCCAACGCCGCCTCAGATGCGTGCTTGTCAGAATGTGTTGTGGACGCGCTCTGAAAACAGCAACCAAACCCAATGAATTCACAACGATTTAATAAAATAGTGTTCTGATGTTATCTTATATGACAGTCACAAATTAATCATCGTTAATATTAGAGCATTGATGCTGCTTGAGCACTTTCGTTATTTAAATCAAAGAAACACAACCGATATGAGATTAGTCAGATATATACGAAATGAACATAATATTACAAATATAATATCTTCAAAATGACGTGAATGCACAAGTGAACTTGAACCAAGTTACGTGCCATTCAGAATGACTTAATGTTGTGCACGCGCTCTTCCTGGAACGCGACAGGGCAACTAAACCCAAATTATTCACCAAGTTTTATTACAATATTGTTCTCTTTATAATGTTATGTAATATGACACTCCCAATAGTCGTCGGCTACATTGCCGTTTGAGCTGCGCGCGCTAAAGATCACGCTTCAATTCTTAACCAAATACATCCAATATGTGATAAATCAGATATAGACG